TGTATAAAAACGTCTTGCACAATTCAAAAATCTCCTCGTGCGTTTATACTCCTTATACAGTACCTCTAACTGGTGTTCGAAATGCCTGCGACGCACCAAGCGCTGAGTATCTCATGATCGTTTTCCCACTGTAAACTACAGGACTGGCACTAAAATTTGTCATTAGAAGCCCACTCACCAAAAACAAGCATACGAAACAAATATGAGCAAAAAATGTTACCCCAAGCGATATGACGTTGTGGGATGAATACCATGACCCCTCTCTACCGATCCGTCTGTTTGCCTCGACTGAAACTCACGAAGTCTGCAACCAAACAGAGTCTCAATCAACTTTAACGAAAATCTTCGTGCATCTCACCTTTCAAATAACAGCAGACAATCCCATCGATTTATTTAGATTTAATTCAAAGGAAAACTCCAGTTTTTAAAAATAAAGGTAAACCTGTACACTGAAGAAGTACCCTCTCCATTGTAAAACATATTTCGAGACATCGAACTCTGTTGCTCATCAAATTCTTCATCCGCTGCAAATCTCATAATAAATATTAAAAAACCGAAAACAAAGGTATGCAGAGCAATCAGCAAAAGGCAAAAAAATGGTATTTAAAAAAAGACAATCCTCACCGTAATGTGAAGAAAGCCCTGCCATTATTGGAAAGGAATTTGAATCGTAACCCTCCTCAATAAGTTTGGGGATATGGTCAGGACGAAACATTCCCGTGTAATCATGATCGTACAAAAATACGTCATAGTCCTGCGAAACGAAAATAATATGTAACAAAAAGAAAAGACATTATTAAATCTTCCCCTAACGAAATTTACGAAATAAGCTTGAAAACTGTGAAGTAAACGAGAAAACTGCAGTGCCCATATATTGTCTGAATGATCTGAAAAACCCTCCTCAAAGTTCAACACCAAGATATTTTAAGAGTAATTAAGGAATGACCTGTAACCACAGTTAAACAAGCACCACTTAATCGTAAAATATTTTTCACCTTATAAGGATCAATATCGTCCTGCGCATTTGCAGACTCGCCTTCCTCTCCATCTTCCTCTCCTATTACAACATTCCGGACAAGAGTACTACCATCGTCATCTTCTTGATATTTACTGCAAATATTACAATTTGAAAATTATAAAAGTAATGCATGTTACACTAGAATAAAACAGCCAAAATAAAGTGCGAATCAAAAATAAGCCTTAAACAGACAACAAATAGAGTTGTCTGAACTCCCAGGTATGGGATACCACTCTAAAATTACCAGAAAACAAATTTCAGCTCCGATTTCACTGTTCCCTCCCCGGTAAAAAAAAGACCATACCACTCTGCTTCCGAGATCTCATTGCTGCTAGATGGGTCGCGATCAATTTCGTTATTTCGCAATTGCGGCTCGCCTACTGTTTCTTAAAAAAAACTGTTAGCACAAACCCAATAAGCATTACAACACAAAAGAACTGTAGAAACGAGATATGTCTGAAAAATCCTGAAAATGAATTGAGAAGAGAAGAAAACAGAATACGAATTAAAGACAACCAAGATTTTTATGGAAGAATGGTGAAAACAACCATTCGTCTAAAAAAAAAAAATGAAAGCACCAGATGCACACTATATAATATACATATAGCGATTTCAGCTGCAAAATCACGCTTTAAAGAACGATCTGTTACAAACAATTTCACTTTTTACGTAAATTGTCACTGAAAACAAAAACTTGATGGTATTTCCATTTCCGAATGCAACACCAAAAAGATCGCGTAGTAAAGAAAAAATTAAACGCCAAGATTGATTTTGGAAAAATTTTAGTTAAAATAGAAGATATACTTTCACTCAGTAAATAAAGAAGTTTGCAAGATAAGAGGAAACGTTATCTTCGAATGTGAGAGGCAGAATACCGAGATAAAGGACATGTTGGGAAGAGGTGTAGGCATCAGGCAATCCAAAAACGTAATAGCATTAAAAATCCTTCCGTTCAAAGGACTTTTAACACTCAGGATTACCGGAATAAATATAAGGATGAAATCTTCCATATCATACTTTATAATAACCGTACGTACACGGAATTAAAAAGACAAAAGCGACAATGGAAGAGAAAAGTGCTGTAGCCATCTATTTGAACCTAAATTACCGACCGCACTCCTTACGACATACACATATCACGTTTATGACCTACAGAAATAAAATATCCAAGAATTAATCTTTAATGACACGTACCTTTAGATTCTTCAGAGGTGCGAAGTTCGTGAACATCGGGCAGTTCACTGTGATCTACGGTAAGTGCGCTCATGGAAAGCACCAAGAAGAATTTTGCCACGGAATAGCTAAAGAAATAGGCAAATCAATCAATTGTCAAAGTGGCGAACCTGACTCCCAAGTATATTTAGATTTTGATGATAATAGCGAGTCGACCAGATGCGACCTGCTTTAAAGCAACATAGTACCTGTAATTTAGCGGTTTATGCAAGTGTGTAGAAAATGAAAGTTTGTTCTCGACACCAAGTAGAAATAATCAAGAAAGATGCAAATTAAAAAAATCCGTAAATGACTAGAAACGTCAAACACATTTTCTGAACTACTTTTAAAAAATGACCTTAAAAAAGAGCAGAATAAAACTGTTCAACAAAACATTTCTCGTAATCCAATTTCTGATTCAAGAACTCAATAAACAAAAAAAAAA